CCTTCTGGAATACCTATTATTTGGATATTTGGGCATTTATCAGTGTCTAGTACTTCTTGTATGTTGTCCTCATTTTTTTTCTTTTTCTTTTTTATTATTTTGGGTGTTTTTTAATATAAGTCAAAGATTTTGTCTTTCATCTGAGATTCTGCCTTCTGGGTGGTCCAATCTGCTATTAATACTTTTGAGGGAGGTGTTGATTTTTTGTACACTTATCTTCATCTCTAGAAGTTCTGCTTGGTTCCTTTTTATTGCGTGTATTTCCTCCTTCAAATCCTGGAAAGACTTCTTTATCACTGTCACCATTAATATTTTAAATCCTTTTTCTGACATTCTTGTGGATTCTTTTGTGCTGTCTATGATTAAATAGAGTTGCTCTGTTCCATTAAGGGAGAGGTGTTTCCTTTTATTTCTTGTACCTCTGCATTGGTGTCTGGCCATCTGATGAATTATACACTTCTTCCTACTTTTCTGGTATTGATTCTGTAGTGCCATGGGGGAGGAAGAGATCTACTTCTCAGACGTGTTCTTGGTAGAGAGTCTATCTTCCAGTCAGAAAAGTATGTATATAGCCAGCTTTAGGTGTTGGTACCTTTCCCAGTTTCCTGAGACCAGGTGCACCTGAGGCTGAACTGGAGTTTCAACTGGGGTAGAGGGTAGGAGTCCTGCAGTACACTGCACAGTTCAGTAACTATGAAATCTTAAAATATTTCTGGGCTGGCAGAAGGCATCTAAAGATCTGAAGCAGTCTTTCTGCCTCAGTTGGTTTCACTGACTGCTGCTGCTCTGTTTCATGTTGCAATCTCAGGGGACTAATGGTGGTGAAGGGATGTATGAAGATCCAGGGTGTACCTACGGCAGTCAGAAGGCAGTGAGAGGTCTGAGGCAGTCTTCTTTGGCAGATTATGGTGGCCAACCATGGTTTTGTTTTGTTTTTTGAGTTTTTGCTATAGGGTGCATGCGCTCACCAGAGAGAGAGAGAGAGAGAGAGAAAGTGAGAGAGAGACACAAAGTGAGAAATCACCCACCAGGGGGATAGTCACGCTGCAATCCTTTCTCCTCCCTTCTCCTCTCGGGATCTTGAGCAACCACACACGTACACATGCCTGGCATGAGTTTTAAGCCACAGGGTCCAGGACTTAACTGTGATCAACTAAATGGGAGTCCAGCGATATAACCACTATGCCATCTGCTCATCCCACCAGGTGTTTTTCAAGCAACCAGGTCTGAGTCTTGAACTGCACAACCATGTACAATGCAGCCATGTTAGCCACCTCACTGCTTGGCTAGCACTAAAGTGGGGTTTTGGTAGATGACATATTAATTGTTTTTTTTTAAATACAGTATGATAATCTTTTTCTATTATTGCATTAAACCCTTGACATTCAAAGTGATTATTGATACAGTTGGATTATTGACCAATTTTGTTACTGTTTTCTATTTGTTGCCCTTGTTCTTTCTATCGTCTACATTTTCTACTTCTTGAGATTTTAGGTGAGCAATTTGACTCCATTTTCCCTCCTTTCTTAGTATTATCAGTCATCCTTATGTGCGTGTTTGCCCTAAAGTTTACAATAAACATTTACAACTAATATAAAGCCTACATTCAAATAACACCGTATCTAGGGCCAGCAGGTGGAATGATGGTTAAGGGCCCTGGATTCCCACATGACCAACTGCAGTTTGAGTCCCAGACCTGGTGGCTTGCTTTCCCACTTTCCCTTTCTCTCATTCTGTCCCTCTCTTCAAATTAAAGTAAAATAATTTTTTAATAGCACTTTATCATTTCATGGGCACTGTGCTTTATAATTATCAGTACTTTGTCATTTAAAACCACTAATGGTGGGCTAGCTATACTACTTGAGAGAAGCTGGATCCTATATGGTGACCATGCTTTGAATCTCTGGCCTACTGAGCCTAAAACACCCTGGGAGCACACATAAAGGCCCACAATCCAAAGGACTGGAGAGAGGACATTGCGTCATGACTCAACCTTGTGGAGAGTGCTCTTCCATACTTCTCTCTCTCACAAAAAACAACAAAAAAAAAACCAAAAAAACAAAACTTCTAGTGATCTCCCTTCATAAATTAATTTCCTACATATTCATTCTGCTCTAGCCAAATCAGCCTCATTGTTTCTTAAAACAAATCAGGCATTGCTCCAGCAAATTTTTTGCAACTGCAATTTCTGTAACTGGAACAGTCTTCCTTGGTCACACAGTTTGCTATTTACACTCATTCTCAAACTTCACTTTCCAAGAGAAATTTTCCTTGGCTAATCTATTGATACTTTTCCTTTTTGTTATCTTCTTTCTTGATTTATTTTATCACTCATGAAATGACACAAAATTTGTTTTAAATGTTTTCTTCCATTGTCGGTTTTCCAGAGTCTAGCTTTTATATACATACAAGCAATATATGTAAACTCTAGAAATGGTGTATGATCTAGAGTAAGTACTATGTGTGTTAAACAGTATGTCTGCACAATGCTGGGCTCGGTTTTGAAAGAGATCTTTTTGAAAAGTACACCTTGACAGATGTGATTAAGCAGAAGTGTCAACTGACAACATTGCCCATTTCCTAACCTGGGAGAGCCCAAGTCCAAACCTGAGAATAAAATAAGGACCCCAGAGAACCACATTGGAGGAACAAAGGTCATGGGGAGGGGCTCCAAGGGTCACATACAGGGGATACTTATGAGGAATACACAATGATGGTAGGAAGTGGGTGCAGCAGAATCAGCAGTGTCATATACAGTCTGAGTCCCAGGTTAATAAATCTAGAGGAAGAGTGGGATGAGAACTGCCAAAGATATGGTTATGCGAAAAGCTACTTGTCTATATTCTTTTTTATAGAGGTTTTTGCCTTAGGGCACGTGTGCTCTCTGGAGAGAGACAGTGAGAGGGAAAGCGATGAATCAACTCCCAGGGGGGATGACCATGCTGCAATCCCTTCTACTCAGTTATCCTCCTGGGGTCTTGGGCAAGCATGCACATGTGCCTGGCATGAGTTTCAAACCAATGGGTCCAGGACTTGAACTGCGTCAGCCATGTGTGAGTCCAACAACGTAACCACCACCATTACGCCATCTGCTGGCCCCTCAACCACATAATTAACACCAATGTTCAGTTACTGTTGGAACATAAAATGTATATGTGTGTGGTGTAGGCAAAGTGAAGTAACAAATGGCAGAGGTTGAGAGGCCAAATCATGGAAGGCTGTGCTAATTTTATTAACTTATATAGTGCATAAGTATAAGTCTAGATTTAAAATTACAAAGGTTTTCTACAAATCAATAAGAAAATACAAATAACCTATATTAATCAGGACAGAAACCCAATTCAATTATCTTAAACAAGAAAGGGACTTTATTGGCTCACAAAACTTTAAAGTCCGGAGGTAGGGCAGGCTTTAGGCACAGCTGAATCCAGGGCCTCCAGAAAAATGACATCAGAACTTAGTTCTCTTTCCATTTCTGCTAACCTCCAAGTTTCTCCTCAGACAGACTCTCCATGTGGTACAAATTCAGGCTTACACGGTCATTGCCTCCTGGGATCTCCACAAAGCCTTCCTTCCAGTAGTTCCAGCAGAAGTTCTGTTGAGGGCGCTCCTTAGCCTGGCTTAAGTTACATGCCCATTCCTTAATCACTGTGACAAAGGAGCTATGGGACTCAGGAAGCCAGGCCTGGTCATGGGCTCTGTTATGCCACAGGGAATGGGCTCCTCACAATAAATAGGGGTTCTGTTATCAGAAGATGGGGAAAAAGATGCTGAACAAACAAAAATATATCCACACATAACCCAACAGAAAAGCAGGTAAGGGATACAAACAGTTAATCCATGGTAAAACTATAAATGGTCAATAAACATGAGAATAACCCCAATCTCATCATTTATTTAGGAAAATGCAAAATAAGGAAAAAAAGTTTTGTTTCATTTTTGTCCAACAAATATAACTATCAGGTATAGGTAAGGCTATATGGGGAAATGAACACTTTCCATACAATTGGTAAAAATATAGATATGAAGGCCTCTGGGAAGGCTAAGGTGGGTCTATCAGAGAAAGCAAACCCTTTGACTCAACAATCCATGTTACAGGACATACAACCTAAAGAATACTCACACACATGCACAAAGACATCTGAATAAGATGTTTACTTTGGCAATGTAACAGCAAGAAAAAAAAGGGAATAAATAATGGTATATTCATAGTATTTAATTCTATTCAAATATTAAAAAAAAATTAAAGACCTTGGTTATCTGTTGAGACCCCTCCCTTCTAAAAAAGGCAAGCTGCAGACCAATACATATATATGATTATCTTTATGTAAAAATAGTGTTTATAAGAGAATGTATATTTATATGGAAATATATGGAAAAGGGACTAGAAGTATATATGTTAAACTGTGGGAAATGGAATGTGATTGGAAGTGCTGGAGAAAAGGGTTTCTCTTTGTTGTTTCATTTTTGTATCTAAGTTTTGTACACTGAGAAAGTAGTTGTACACTTGTAATTTTTAAAAATGAGCAAAAGCAATTCACAACGAAAATGCAAATGGCCATTAAACATATGAAAAAATGTTCACCCTCATTAATAACAAAGAGAAGATAAAATAAATTTTGCCCATTAAATTGGCAATAACTTTAAAGGATTCAGGGTTGGTGGGAATGTAGGCAAACAGGCACTCTTACTATTGATGGAGTTGAAAATTGGTATAATCTTTTTGGTATTATTTCTCAAAATGTCAAACGTGCATTCTCTGACCTTACAAATTCATTTCTAGCTGTTTATCCTTCAGAAATAGCCACACAGGTAGCAAAATATATGTACAGGAACTATACCTCTAACTATAGTGAACCCAATTATTCATTATGGGATTGGTTAAATTACAGTATATTCATGCAAAGGAACAGTATGTAGCTATGAAAAAGAAAGTCTACCAACAAGGGGAAGAAGGGAGTTAAGTTTCAGTGCAATACATGTAAAGTGGAGTCACGTACCTGCCTCATGTGGTTGCTGAAGATTAAGAGTTAATCCATGGTAAAGCCTTTTAAGCAGTGCCTATACACATCAACCACAAATGTTAGCTATTAACACATTTTTGCTTAAATATGTATATCCCAAAATCTAAAAAAGAATTCAGTTATTATTGCTGTGTTTAAGAATGTGAAATGTCCTTCATAATTTTCTATTTCCATACTGTAAAAAATTCAAATGAGCACATTTGTTAACCATAAAAAAAAGCATAAAATTTATTAACCAAAGTTTAACAGCCATCATTCACGGCATAGCAGAGAAATCTAGCCCCGTAATCCATGGAATTAGATGTATGTTTTAGCTCTAACTGGTCACAGGCAAATCACATGATCTCTGAATTCTGCTTTCCTAGTCTACAGAACAGATATATGTATATGGCATAGTGTCTAATCCAAAGCCTGTTATACAGATTATTTCAATACATGTAATCCTCCCCTGAACTTATGCAAATATGAGACATACCACTAAAGATCAGATGCCAACCAGGAGTGAATGTGGAGAGCTTAACCTGCAGAACCACCAGAAGAAAATTTAGCTCAACCAGCAAATGTTCAGTGGCTATTAGACAGGTACCATCAGTCTGCATGCTGTAATGTTGCTGCTTGTGAATCAGAAATCCTGGTTATGCCACTGCTTGGCAACCACCACATTAATTCATCAGAGACTGGGCAAAGTCCAAAATTATCTATGTGGGTATAAATTAATGTCTGGAGAAAAATCATTGGTGTATTTGAAACTTAACCTAAATGGGATCCCAAGTACATTATCTCACCCTTTCCTTTTCCTGTGTAAAATTACCCAGTTTTGTTTTTGTTTTTCGTCCCGTCCCTTTTCCCCACAGAGCCTTGCCTTAGCCTCGGAATCCTTTCTAAACAATGCACAAGTATGCGAGCTGGCAACACAAAAATATACCAATTCTGATACTATTTTTACTATGCTCTCCCATTACCAAAGATCTTTGGCATTTTTGACATATCTACCTCAGAGAAGCCTGCTAATACATAGGAAAGATCAAGACCTTAAAAAAGGGTGAAATTCCAGCCACTGAGAGGTTGCTCCCTTCTTACCTACTCTGATACAAGAATTCTGTCATTCCAGCAAGTCTTCCAAATATGCCACCTCAAAACCTACTTGGAAAAAAGCCAGTTATAAATAAATAAATCAACTCAAGATCATTTCATCTTAGAGCAAAGGAGTTCATAGCTTTATTGGACGTTGACTTATTTCCTCTCAGCCACAAGGAGAAAAAGACCCAAACGAAAGTCCCTACATTTTCTTGTATAACTTAAAATACATTATATCATTACTACATATTTATACTTCAATAAATCTTAATCTATAAAGCCCATTTCTTATAATTAATTGTTATCAGAAAATCTATAAACAAGCTCCATCTGCCACCTCTCCACCACCTGGCCCTGCATTTATTACTATGTTTTTTAACAGGTCATGCAAATCTCACCTTCATTTTTGAATCTGATCCAAGCACCAGATAAAACCGGAATCTCTGGAACTATGAAATACTTTTATTCACATGGGTCATTTCCTGTACAATGATACCCATAATAAAAAAGCCTTTTCTCACATTCTTTTAACTTCCAGAGTTTTCCACTAAACAGTAGAACCACAGTACTTCGTATTCTCAGCCAAGGAGTATATAATTCTACTACTACAATGTATTACTTTAATACATTTTTAAAAAAAGTGTTAAGACTGATCATTAAAAAAAAATAGTTCAATCAATTCTCATAGTTAATAAACTAGTTGTTAATAGCCTGGTTGTTTTTTTAAATAGAATAGTCCTTTCAACTTATCATGTACGTACAAACCTCAATGCTACTAGAAATAAGATTAATTTTTTTTTTTAAATTCACAAACCACTCAAATGTGTTAAGAGTATCTTGGACTCACCTCTGAGGAGTTCTGTAGAGCTAGCTAGCTCTTTGAACTGAGTCCTTCTCCCCTCCCCACCTTCCTTCCCCCCAAATACAACACCCTGGTAAGAGAACTATGGCTCTGGTAATCTTAGAGGTGACCTTCCATGGAAATGCTCAGACTGGGGTGGGTAGGGTGGGGGGGGCTAACTCACGTGAAAACAGCTCAGTACCAAACCCCTTATGATTTACAGTGGAAGAAATACCTACCACCTATGGTAGGGTTACAGTACCTAGCACAGTGCCTTGTCAGTAAAAATAATGAACGTATGGATGTTTTTTAGCCTGGTGTTCAACCCTTTTGTACCAAAGAAATTAAAAAAAGCAAACCGGATATCTGTTGCCGACCTCTCAGAGAATTTCTGTCCTTAACAAAGATGAAGGCAAAATAATAATGAATTAAGAGTTTAAAGTCTTTTTCCTTCTAAAAGCTAAAAAAGACCATTACCCTTATGTTTATATCTGCCCTTCAACAATACCATTTGCTACAAATTCTCCCCTAATGTTACAATTTCTACTTTCATCATTTTATAACTATTTTTTAATGATACATGGAAAAACATTATTTCCATTAGCAAGATGCCTCCAAAATACAGGTAAGATGACCAACTTGAGTTTTTCTATATGTAGACTGCATTTAAATTCTTGATGTACTTCAATTATAAGTATTTACATATTTTCCCTGATGTAGGTGCCCCCTTCACTTTTTGATATCTTATCACCATCATTTATCTGAGATCTTAAGGCTCATTTTACTTTGAGGCTTTTAGTCATCCTTATTTTCTCAAATGCATGTTCAATTGAGTAAAAGAATACAGTAGGGTAGACTTTTTAAAGACAGTTTTAAAATTACTTAAGATGTTTTTCAAACTTTCTAATTCCTATGTTGCCTTTTAATATAGAAGGGAATGTATCCTTACAAAGAACATTTCTATGATCAACAAAGAATAATGTATTTGTCTAAAAAAGAAAACTTCAAAGAAAGGGATAAGGAATCAGGTAGTTCATTATTTGAGAAATTAAGAGAATATAAACATCACATGGAAAATTTAGGCATTAACACCTGAATTAAGTTTAAAATTTCAGTTTCTAGGCAAATGACACCATTTCTTTTGAGATAAAATAATGGTGAGTGAAAATTTTTACATTTCCCAGTGGATTTTCCCATAGTCAACAGGGAAAAAACTATTCTGTATTATTTCATGTTTTTAATTATGTCTTCATTTCTGAAGAAAAAGACCTGAGTGCTGATTCTTTTTTATTATTTTTTTTTAATTTCTTAAACTTTTACAACATTCAGAAGTTTTTCTGCATTGTGTCTCCTCTGATGTCTAAAAAGATTTGAGCTTTGACTATAGGATTTCCCACACTGAACGCATTCATACGGTTTCTCCCCGGTATGGATTCTCTGATGATTAATAAGCCCAGAATTCTGGCTAAAGGCTTTCCCACATTCGAGACATTTGTAAGGTTTTTCTCCAGTATGGACTCTCTGGTGCTGCACAAGGATGGAACTTCTGCTGAATGCTTTCCCACACTCAACACATCCATAAGGTTTCTCCCCACTGTGGATTCTTTGATGAAGAATAAGGGCTGAGCCCTGACTGAAGTGTTTGCCACATTCATCACATATATGTTGTTTTTTTCTAGAGGGATTTCTTTTTCTTTCAAACCTGCCTTTGGCGTAACAAGCTTCTCCATACTTAAAGATCTGAGGAACACCTATATTCAGGGTGCCAGGAACTTCATGAGATTCTACTGCCGAAGAAATCTCCTGCTTTGGAGCTATTGCCCCATTTTCAGTCCTAGCATCATCATCTGAAATAAACAGAAAATGTAAACATCATTTACTTCCTATTCAGGGGACAATAAACTTAAAGAAGGAATTTGTTTAAAAATAACTAAAAGTAAATAGACTGTGCATATCTGTAAATAGTACTATGAAAACCGGTGTTAAGGTTGTCTATCCTTAAAAAAGAAAAAGAATGAAATGACTGATTATGGGACTAATGAGGTAACAGCCTGATAACATAATGACATAAAAGGTTGTATTAGATAAAACATACAGGTAAGTGGGTTATAAATGGTAATTATAAAAGAAAAGGCAGAGAGATGGCAGATTCTAGAAAGGTTAGAGAGACAGTCAAAGTAATATAAGTCTGGATGAAACGTTATATAAAGAAAAAATAAAACAGGCCACTAGGAAATTATTATAATGCCTCACTTTGAGAAAGGAAGATACTGGGACCAGCAGACAACCAAATGGTTATGTCACTGGATTCCCACACAGTCAACTATAGCTAGAGTCCCAGAATAGGTGGCTTAAAACTCATGCCAGGGGACCAGCAGTTGGCATAATGGCTATGTTTCTGGACTCCCATGTAGTTGTCGACTACAGTTCAAGTCCTGGACCCAATGGCTTAAATTCACGCTGGGGGTATGTGCATGTGTGCCCAAGATTCCCCAGATTCTGAGAGGAGAATGGAGGAGAGGAGACTGCAGCATGGCCAACCCCCCTGGGGGGTGATTTCTCCCTTTCTGTCTCTCCGTTTCTCTCTGCCTTTCTGGAGAGTGCACACGCCCTATAGCAAAAACCTTTCCAAAAAAAAAAAGCCTCATGCCAGGCAGGATGGTTATGGTTATGTCGCTTGACTCCCATGTAGTCAAACAGTTCAAGTCCTGGACCTGGTAACTTAAAACCGATCCCAGGCACCTGTGTGTGCATGCCCAAGATCCCAAGAGGAGAATGGAGGAGAAGGGATTGCAGTGTGGCCACCCTCCTGGAGGGTGATTTCTTGCTTTCTGTCTGTCCAGCGAGCACATGGATCCTATAAGCGAAAATCTCTCTCTTAAAAAAAAAAAAAAAAAAAAAAAAAAAAAAAAACCACCTCACACTAGGCATGTGTGTGTGCCCAAAATTGCAAGAATTGAGAAGGAATTGTGGCATAGCCACTGCCCTGGGGGATGATTTCTCATTGCCTGTTTCTCCAGGGAGCACAAGAGCCCTGTAGCAAAAATTTCTTAAAAAAAAAAAAAAAAAGATACTGTGTGTGTGTGTGTGTATACATATATATTTTGTTTGTTTGTTTGTAAGACATTTTTGCTACAGGGCATGTGCTTTCACCAGAGAGACAGAAAGTGAGAAATTACCCTCTCCCCTGGGGGGATGGCCACACTCCAATCCCTTCTCCTCCATTCTCCTCTTGAGAGTTTGGGCACACGTGCCCAGTGCATGTTTTAAGCTGCCAGGTCCAGGACTTGAACAGCAGTCAACTAACTACATGGGAGTCCAGCAATGTAAGCATTATGCCATCTGCTGGTCCCAGAAGATATTATATATTTTAAAAGTATAAATAATCTTTCAGAAATGACTATTTCTCAAATGAGCAAGACAAAGGTCATAGTCAAGATTAGACTAAAAGCAGAACATAGCAGTCTTGACAAGAAGCTAAAGATAAGCTGGGGACATCCTGTATTATAAAGACATAACATTTAAAAATACAATATGCCTGGGCCAGCCAGTGGCATGATGATTGAGATGGCTGGATCCTACATGGTCAACTGGGTTCAAGACCCAGCACCTTGAAAAACACTCTGGGTGCATGCACATGCATGCCTAAAGCCCTGTAAAAAAAGAATGGAGAAAGGATTGCAGTTTGGCCATCCTCCATAGGGAATATTTTTTCACTTCCTTTCTCTTAAGTGTATGTGCCTTCTAGCATGTGTGCGCGTAAGCACACACATACACATAAAATAGCAATATGCTCTTAATAAATAACAATGTTTCTATGAAAGACATCACAATACTTCCAAAAAGTGTTATTTCTAAGCCTCAATGAGATGAGTCTAGTGAAAAAAAAAAAGCCTGAGTTTCCAATACGAGGAACCATCACCTTCTTGCAGGCACAGGTAAAAAGAACAAATCTCATTTAAGACTTTTCTGAAACCTCAAGTCTCAAAGAATAAAGAGAGGGGACCAGCAGGTGGCGTGGTGGTTAGGGCGCTGGACACTCCCACATGGATGACCACAGTTCAAGTCCTGGGTCTGGTGGCTTGTTTTCTCACTATCCCTCTCTGTCTGTGTCTCTCTGGTCTATTGAAAGATGAACAAATCAATAAAACTGAATTAATAATTCTTTAAAAAAAATAACAGCGACAGTTCATACAAAGTGAATACTAATAGTAAATAATTGACAAATGGATAAAGCCAGAAGAAAAGGCTAAGAAAAACAAGACTGAAGGATTAGCAAGGCCTAAAGACTTTAAGACCAGAGAAGTGAGTATAAAGTGGGAAAAAAATGACACAGAAAGAAACAAGTTCCTTAGTATGAAAGAGACTAGAAGGCCAGCTGCATGGCACAGTGATTAAGCACTGTGCATTTAAAGTCAGACCCCATGTATTTGACCAAAGTTTGAATCTCAACTCTTGGCAGCATGAAAAATACACCTGGCCCACGTGTGTACGTGCCCAAAATCCTGATGAAAAGGAGAAGTAAAGTAGTTTTCTATACAAAACACAATCCTCAAAGACCGAGGACAGTGGTTCTTGAAGTTTACTGTGCAGAATGTCCACTGGGCCAACCCATGGCCTGGTGGATAAGAAAGCTGGATCTCACATGACAAATCATCCTGGGCCCTGCAGCTTGAAAAATACACTGGGCTCAAGGCATGCATGCCTAAAATCCAGAAAGGAAAAAATTGAAAAAGGTCTGCAACATGACCATTCCCCATGGAAGGTGCATTCTCACTTTCCATGCTCTCTTGTTATCCTGTCTCTCTCAGGTGAGCACATCAGTCCAAAGGCAATTTTTTTTTTTTAAAGTCTCAAGAAACATGTAAAATTACAGAGTCTCAGAAGACTTCAGCCCCACCTCAGAATTTCTGATTCACTTGCGCTGTTCCCTCAGACAGGGAGAAAAGTTGCTCGGATCACATTCTGTGCCATATCAGAATTATGTTCAACCACCTTAAGGCATAATCATCAAAGCGGACTCAAACTAAATTTCACTTTGATTCAAACAAATAAGGAAAAGAAATCCCAAAACACAGTTTTCAAAATATACGAGTTAGGGGCCAGCAGGTGGCACAGTGGTTAAGATGTCAGACTCCCATATGGCTGACCATGGTTCAAATCCCAGATCTGGCTGTTTGAAAATCATGCTAGGCACATGTGCATGTGTGCCCAAAATTCTAGGAGAAAGAACTGCAGAGTGGCCATCACCACTGAGTAATGATTTCTCACATTCCCTTTCTCTGTCACTTTCTCTCTAGCAAGTGCATGTGCCCTATGACAAAACCTTTTAAAGAAAGAAAAGAAAGAAATATATGGGTTATATTTATAGTATTAATTGCCAATGTACTGAAAAAGACTGGTCTAAGTGAGTTATTACAGTTATGAGCTTTTTATTTTTTTTATGTAAACTATACCATAATTGGACAGTCTATTTCACAAATACTTTAAAAAAAGTGAAAACCTTACCCCAAATATCATTTCTACAAAACGTGCTTCTAACAACAAAAATAAGTCTAGGTAAGAGGTTAAAGGGAAAAAACAGTTAAAATTTTGGAAAAGACTTCAATAATATACAACAAATAGAGATCAGAAGAGACTTTAGGTAAATTCAATATACTAGCAAGATTAGGCAGGAGGCTGAACATAAAAGGATGTAAAACAGATGACAAGTAGGCAATACTTCATGTAAATAGTCCCAGTCTACAGGTGAGTGCTACCTCCGAGTAGGCAAATCTAGCCTAACATGGATGGGCAGGTCCTTAGCAAAGAGACCAAAAGGGAGAAAATTGCTGAAGATGTTAATGTCTAGGAATTAAAGATCTGAGGTGAGCAAATCAACTGTTAACAGAAATTAATGAAAATCCTTAGTATGTTTATGTCTAAGGAATCAGGATAAACATAATCTGACCCTGCCTCCACATCCACTGAAAATAAGCAGAATTCTGGACAAAAGTCCCCCACAACTTGCACTCTCAAGCCCATGTGAAGTTCTGGTCCTTACCACAGTGCCTTAGGGAATGGAGCTCCCAGGATGCCCACTTGAGTTGGTTCTCCACAGCATCAAGCTCAGAACTTGGTAATCCCTGAGCTGCCTCTTGAGATACTATCTCCTCTACAAGTACTTCTCGTTTTCGTCGACGGAGAGAAACCTGGAAACAGTATTTGGTTAAGGAGGATTTTGATGAGATCAGAACTAAACACATGTAAGAGAAATCACAAAAATCATATACTGCAGAGGCCTATGTGGCAAAGAGGCACAGTGAAGTAGCAGAAGCAATGGGGAGAAATCATGAACATAACTCTGAGTGGAGTTCAGTTCTGCTTACTGCTATGCCAGTGCTTCTGACCCAAGAAAAGTGTCAAAAGATGGCTCACCGACTGTCCAGGGTCATCGAGTTCACTCTCCAAATCCTCCAGCACAGTCACTGCCTCCTCGCCATTTTCTGGATGATGCTCTCGAACCCATGTCTGTAGTTCCTTAGGTAAAATGGCAACAAACTGCTCCAGCACAACCAACTCCAAGATTTGTTCTTTTGTGTGTGACTCTGGCCTGAGCCATAGTCGGCAAAGTTCTCGGAGCTGGCTCACAGCTTCACGGGGTCCAGGTGAATCCTGGTATCCAAACTGCCTGAATCGCTGTCGAAAAACCTCTGGGTCAGGGAGATGGTTCCAGGGGATACTTGATCCCTCTTCACCATCAGGATCCTCCTCCAATTTCACTCTCAGAATTTTTTCCTCTTCATCTGGAGTTGGAATGATAAGTATTGAATCTTCTTCCACTGACTGTGCAGACATCTTGATTTATAATACTTCAAGAAAAGATAATCAAGGCAGAATATAAGCCTCAGGAAGATACCTTTATTCTTCACAGGCACTCCTGAGGAACAAGAAATAAAAAAGTACATAAGTACACAAGTAGTCTAAACATTTGGACTTAAGCTGACAAAGAAAGTTAAAGGTATAAGTTCCTATACTGGACTAGAAATTCCAATCAATAATCTACACCAGGCCAAATTCAATCTTCCCCTTATTTTTGTACAGTGCTTATACTTAGAATAGTTTTCGTATTTCTAAATAATTTTTTTAAAATAAAACAAAACTATTTTATGACAAGAAAATAATATAAAATTAAAATATCTGCATCAATAAGTAAGTGTATTTGTTCACAGTTCATGCTATATGGCCTGAAGAACCTATTTACCATATGGCTCTTTAAGGAAAAAATGTGCCAGATGACCTAAGTCAACAAACCCCATTCCACTTAAGAACCAGCCCATCCTGGGCCAGGAGGTAGTGCAGAGGTTAAGGAGGCTGGATCCCACGTAGCCAACTGTATCTTTGAGACCTAGGCCTGGGAGCTTGAAAATCATACAGGACATGTGTGCGTGCACTGTCAAAATCCCAAGAGGAGAATGGAGAAGGGGTTGCAGTGTGGCCATCTGCTCCTGGGGGTGATTTCTCATTTTTCCTATCACTCTCCGTCTCTGACTAGTGCATGTGCTCTACAGCAAAACTAAAAAAGAATCAGCCTATCTCAGTATTTGTTATGTTTTTTAAAAGAATTATTATTATTATTACTTACTTATTTATTTTTGACCAGAGAAAGACAGAGAGAGGGAAAGTAAGAAAGTAAGCCACCAGGTCTGGTACTCAAACTGCAGCCATTCATGTGAGAGTCCAATGCCTTAATAATCATGCCACCTACCGGCCTCAACTTCTATATGTATTGGCCTTGGAACACATTATTTGCACCTCAGGGCATGTGTTCCCTAACACACTAAGGCCAACTCAGTAGGGACTGCTTTTTAATTTTAAAAAAGCTTAATTTATTTTTTTAACGGATTTTGCCAAAGAGTGTGTGTCCTCACTGGAGATACAGAGAGAGACAAAGAGAGGGAGAGTAAGAAATCATCCCTCCCACTCCCCAGGAGGATGGCCATACCACAATCCCTTCTCCTCCCTTCTGACAGGCAATTTGGGCACATATGCACAAGTGTCCAGCATAATTTTCAAGCCACTGGGTTCAGAACTCAAACTGCAGTCAACCATGTGAGTCCAGCACCTTAACCACCATGCCATCTACTGGCCTCTGCTTAATTTTCTTTTTTACAAATTTCTTTTAAAAAACTTGAACAGGGGGGAACCAGCAGTTAGCGTAACGGCTATGTCGCTGGACTCCCATGTAGACAACCGCGGTTCGCGTCCCAGACCCGGTGGCTTAAAACTCATGCCAGGCGCGTGTGCGTGCGGGCCCAAGATCCCGAGAGGAGAATGGAGAAGGGATTGCGGTGTGACCCTCCTCCATGGGGGGTGATTTCTCGCTTTCTGTCTCTGTCTCTGTCTGTCTGGCGAGCGCACGCACCCTATAGCGAAAAAAACCTCTCCAAAAAAAAACACTTGAACAGGGGACCAGCAGGTGGTTGTGGTGATCAAGGCATTAGACACTCCCACATGGCCAACCACGGTTCGAGTTTTGGACCTGGTGACTTGCTTTCTCACTTTCTCTCTCTCTGGTCAAATTAAAATAAATGAATGAATAAAATTAAATAAATAACTTTTAAAAAATAAGTAAATAAGTAATAAAAAGTTTAACACGACCAGCACTGTAGCACAGTGGTTAAATGTTATACACTGGGAGCCATATCCCACATGGCCAACTGTGGTTCAAATCCCAGTCCTGGCTGTTGGAAAAACATTGGGCATATGTGTGTGTGTTCATGCCCCAAATCCTGATGGAATAGAAAAATGGAAGAGAAGAACTTCCAACATGACTACACTCCATTCCCTCTAGCAGTTAAAAACATTTTTTAATTAAAAAATAAGTATTAAAATTATTTTAAGATGTTTAAAACTCCTTGAACTTAAAATACTGTGTGGAAAATGTTCGCTTTCTAAGTAACAAATAATATTGAAAAATGTAGTAAAAATCATAATATTGAAAAATTAAAATATCATTTTGCATAATATACAAATATTATCCAGTCACCACACACCATAAATATATTTGCATTTACAATGACAGGATTCATCACAATAAATTCTATTAAGAAAAGTCACCTTCATAATCACCTTCTTAACTTCTTGCAGTAGCCCAGAATCTTGTCCTTATATTGGATGGCTCAGTTTTCCATGTTACTACCTTTTGAAAACTCTGCTATTTTTGATCCTTTCCTTAGTATTTGCACAGTCACGCCTGTGCCACTGTATGCTAGGAAAGAGTCATGCAGCAACTCTATGTATGTATTCAGGGCTCGAAATTTGAAAAAAAATTTACTGTAAGATCTTATCATATATATTGGAAATACACATAGCTTCAATTAAAAAAAAGAAACATGGTGGTCTTAGAAGGAGGGCTTAGCCAATATATTCATTATTTCCTTTTCTAGGACCCTACCTTATTAACGGTTCAGGCATTCCTATGTAAGTCATTTCTTACTCGTATGTTATACCATACACCGCTCATAGGACGTGAAGGGGAGTGTCGGGAGAGCAGGCCCGCGGTCCCAAAGTGTTTGGACAAGGTGCCTCGTCCCGAGTGACCTCCCCATCTCACTCCTGCAGAGACCCGCTGTGTTTCCCGTCCTGCCCTCGCATCCTCCAGCCTCACTTCCAGCATTCACAGCCGGGAGTTCGTTAGACCGCAGGCCAACCGGTGACAAGGGCAGAGCCACGGCACTTCCGCCCGCGACCGACGCGACTACAAGGCCCAGCAGCCCTCGCGCAAGGCCCGCCTTCTCCCCACCTCCGTCCGAAACGAGTCCCAGAACCCTCCGCGAGCCGCCAGGGCCTCGAAATAGAACAAAACCTGCCCGTGGGGGAGGGGGAAGGTGAGGGTCGCGGAGGACGGTGGTGATGGAGACGTCTCTGCGGTGGCTCGAGACCCCAGCAGGCGGATTCTCGCCGGCCCCTCTCCGCCCCCTAACTGCAGGCGCGGACCCTGCGGCCGGACGCCCGGCCCCCCGGGGGAGGG